GGAGGAAGAAGAGGAGGGGGGAGATTGTGGGGTCTTTGGTGCTCTCTGAGCTTGGTTATTTTCTTGCAGAGATTTCATGACCCAAACTAGGTGCTAGTCTTCACATTTGAAGCTCCTTCAAATTTGGCGATCTTGGAACTGCACCCCTAAAGCAGCTTTGCACAATTCTACATAAAGCACAAACAGATTTGTTGGGTCTCTAAGCTACTCATATCTCTACTTCGGAGGGTGATTCTGGTTCTTACTTACTGTTTCCTTCTGCATTCAATTGCTCTGTCTATTCTGAACTCTGGTAAACTGATGAATCCTTCTGCTTTTTCATCCTGTGATCGGAGAAAGGAGACCATACCACTGAGACAGAACCAAGGATGGCAGAGACATTGCAGCTAATAAGGTTATCAGATCACTGAGCATGCTACAGCTGATGCCAGTTCTGTTTGTAGATGGCCTTTAAATCCCAAGCAATTTCAGAAAAAGGAAGGCTAATTTTCAGTCTATTAATAACCACATTATGCTCAGGAACATGGAACCATGGCTGCTTTTAATTCCGCATGAGGCATATGTCTTTTGATTTAATGTTACTTTCTGCAAGCCTAGGCCACAACCAAAACTGGAATTAAAGGCACTTCAGACCATGATTTACAGCTTTAATGTGAAGATGGGTTTGCCTTGTCTTTTGCAATGCACAAGTCAGAAATAAAATAATAAATAAAACATCTATCTATCTATCTATCTATCTATCTATCTATCTATCTATTTATCTATCTATCTATCTATCATCTGTCCATCCATCTATCATTCATCATCCATCCATCCATCCATCCACCCAACCATCTATCCATCCATCTATCCATCTATCCATCCATCATCCATCCATTCATCTATCTATCCATTCATCTATCCATTCATCTATCCATTCATCTATCTATCATCTATCATCTATCTATCTATCTATCTATCTATCTATCTATCTATCTATCTATCTATCTATCTATCTATCNGGTACTCACATTTTGGTTAGTGTACCAGTAGAGGGAGGAATCCTTCAGGACGAACCAATATTTTTTCCACTTCTGAGTGAAGTAACCTTTGGCATCCTTCTTCTTCCACAACCAACCCTCACAGTCACCGTGACCCAAATCTTTACAGGAAATCCGCCGTCGGCTGCTGTTGTTCAGAGAACCGCCTATAAAGAAAAGATGTAGAATGGCTACTACACAGGCAGTCCTCAACTTTCAACAGTTCATTCAGTGACCGTTCAAAGTTACAACGGCATTGAAAAAAGGGACTTATCACCGTTGTAGGGTCCCTGAGGTCATAAGATCAAAATCTGGACACTCGGCAAGGGGTTCATATTTATGACGGCGGCCGTGTCCCAGGGGTCACGTGATCCCCTTTTGCGACCGTCTGACAAGCAAAGTCCATGGGGGAGCCAGATTCACTTAACAGCTGTGCCACTGCCTGAACAACTGCAGTGATCCACTTAACAACTGGGGCAGGAAAGATGGTAAAATGGGCCAAAATTCACTTCACAGATGTTTCACTTAACACGAATTTTGAGCTCCACTGTGGGTGCAAGTTGAGGACTAAGAAATCAGAAGACTTTGTTTTCATTATTCTCAAACGACGGGATCACTCAGAAATTCTATTCTCCATTTCTCTCGCCACTTTTTCTTTTATCACCAGAAACAGAATTTCTTGTAATATTCATATCACTTTTTTCCTATAAAGCCGAGGGCAAATTTAATTAAAACATCAGACTGCGCAGTGTGAAAAATTGGGTTTACATTGTTATATTAATTATATTTGTCCTACAGCTGTGAAGCATAGTCAGGAGTTTAGATCCCATTAAATTATGATTCTTTCTTCTGTACAATCCCACAGCTGAGCTGTAAAAAGTTTATTTCTTTGGAACCGATATTCTGAATTCCGTCAATTGTAGAACAACCCAGCGTACAAGTGTGTAATAAAAAAAGGCGTCACTCTTGAACAATCCTGTGGTTTTCAAACAGATTACAAAATGAATTTATTGAAATTGCCACATAATGACTCATTCTGACTGGCATTTAAAAATTGAACTATTCCGTGTACTAATTAACACCCCGAAATCACTGCAGGCATTGGGCAGAATTTGAGATGGGCTGGAGGTTTGACGTTATCAATGTGTTGGTTGACATCCAGCTTTATTTTTCCTTTCTGTAGAAAACCGAGGAAGCTGTAACACGTTCTTCACTGGAATTGCTACCATTAATATACAGAAGAGTCTCCAAATCAGTAGAAAAGGAGACCAAGGAAAAATGGCGAAGAAAATGAACTGGCATATAATTCTAAGTTACGTTGTGTGTTGGTAGGGTTTGATGCATTTCATGAACCTGGCTACTGAGATCTGTAAACAATGGTTTGTGCTGGAAGAGGAGGAAGATGGGGGGGAGGGGAGGAAGAGGAGGAGGGGAGGAGAAGAGAAGACGAGGAAGAGGAGGAGAGGAGAAGAAGAAGAAGAGGAAAAGAAGAGAAGAAGAAAAGGAGAAGGAAGGAAGGAAAGATAGAAAAAAAGAGAAGACAGAAGGAGGGGAACAGACTGGAGAAAAGCAGAGATAAGAGTGATTGTTCCCATTGCTGGATTTGACTTAACTCAACAATTTAATAAGTTCTAGGTGCACCGTATGTTGTACCTGTGAAATACAATGTTATACTTCCATCCAACTGTGGCTTTAATGTCATATTATTTAAATTCTTAATTTTCTCAACCATTTACCTTTGGGCCATTTTTTGCTCTTTACCCTCAAGGAAGCATAGTGAAAAGACTGGAATAAAAGACAAAAGGAAAACATTGATTAGTTACTATCACAGAACAAAGTTAAACATTGTGGAGAAAACACCCTGCCCTGTGAATAACACACCGGTCTCATTTCCCTTTGTGATTAACCCCACACTTCTTTAAAACGTTTGCCTTTATTTATTTTATGATGGTGATGATGATGATGATGATGATGATGATGATGATGATGATGATATCCATTCATTCTTGGTGATTCTATGGACCAGGTTTCTCCACATCTTCCTATCTTGCACTACGTCTTTAAGTTGTTCTGTGTTCTAGTTGGTGTCATCTTTGATGTGATTTAGCAAATAGTTATGCTGATTCTTTATACACACATACACAAACACACACACACACACACACATGTACACACAAAGTACAATACAATAATGCTTTCTTTTCAGCGGTCTTACTTTGAGCAGTAGAGAACTGGACATGGAGGGGGATGAAAAAGTCAAGCCTTTGTTAGGCAGGTGAATAGAATAGAATGGAATGGAATGGAATGGAATGGAATGGAATAGAATAGAATAGAATAGAATAGAATAGAATAGAGAGGAGAGAGAATAGAATAGAATAGAATAGAATAGAACAGAATAGAGAGGAGAGAGAATAGAATAGAATAGAATAGAATAGAATAGAATAGAATAGAATAGAATAGAGCAGGGGATTGGACTAGAAGATCTCCAATGCCCCTTCCAATTCTGTTATTCTGTTGTGTTCTGTTCAGTAAAGTGGAGAAATATGTTTGGTTCACATTCAAGTAGATACCAATGAGCTCACAATTCCTGGCTATGATGTGTGAACTTCAATTTTTGCCTTGAACTTTTGGGATATAATTTTCCAAGGATGTTTTAAGCATATAAAACTATGGAAACTTGTGACCAAAAAAAGCACGCATTGGGGGGAAATCCCCTACGAAATGTCATATATTCTAAAAAGAGATCACAAACATGTTCACGTTGGGTGTAAAAATATCACACGGAGGCGAACCAAAAAAAAAAAAAAAAGGCACATGGCTGTCTATGCAAGCTTTAAAAATGGAATTTGCAAACTGGTGCAGATCTGGAACGGAACAAATTAGACTTGCTGTAGGAAGCAGAAAAGATGCATTCATTCTGGTTATCAGTCAGGACAAAACAAACCCCACCCACACAGGGAAATTTCTCAATATGTGGAATATGCAAAACTTTCAGATTTTTTTTAAAGACCCTACAGTACGTCTACTCTAGTCTATAAAAAGCAGCAGAATAAAGTGGTAGACAGCTGAGGGTGAGATTTTCAGGCTATACTGATGTCCAACTTTGACAACTTTAAGACTTGTGGACTTCAACTCCCAGAATTCCCCAGCCAGCATCTTGGGGGGGGGGAGGAGAATCTGATTTCTTTCTAACCTATTTCTAACCTGATTTCTTTCTAACCTGATTTCTTTCTCACATGCAGCTTTTACTTTAAAGGAGATGCAGGTAGTCCTCAACTTTCAACAGTTTTATTTAGTGACCATTCAAAGTTATAACGAAAAATAACAGTTGCAGCATCCTTGTGATTGGCTGATCAAAATTAAAACGCTTGGCAACTGACTCATATTTATGACGGTTGCAGTGTCCTGGGTACATGGGATCCCCTTTTGCGACCTTCTGACAAGCAAAATACTTGTCAGATGCTATATTTTTTCTATCCTGCTCTATGGAGTAGAGAGTTGGTCTCTGACAGAAGCCACCTGAAGAGACTAGAAGCATTTGAAATGTGGATTTTACAGGCGGCTGTTACGTATAAGCTGGGTTGACAAGATCAGAAATGAGGAGGTGATAAGCCGCCTGGGAAAGCCCAGGGAAATCATCAAAACAATTAAAAAACAAAAATTAGAATATTTCGGACATGTGATGCAACACCCAGAAAAATACGGCATACTCCATTTAATCCTCCAAAGATGGAAAGATGGAAGGCAAACGAGGTCCAGGCAGAAGAAGAACATTGTGGCTTCAAAATCTAAGGGACCGGTTTGGACAAAACTCAGCAGCACTTTTTCGTGTGGCTGCTGATAAAAACAGGATCGCCAACATGATCGCCAACGTCCGATAACGGATATGGCACAAGAAGAAGAAGAGGACAAGCAAAGTCGGTGGGGAAGACAGATTCGCTTAATAACCATGTACTAACTTAACACAACAGCAGTGATTCTCTTAACAATCGTGGCAAGCAAAGTTGTAAAATGGGGCCAAACTCACTTAACAAGCGTTTGACTTGGCAACGTAAATTTTAGGCTCAGTTGTGGTCATAAGTTGAGGACCACCTGTATTCAAAGCCTTTATTTTAGTTTCTCTGCCTCCATGACAGTTTCGTCTTCCTCCTCTTCCTTATATATTATTATTTCACATTATTTGGTGGAAGCTCATGGCCATTTGTGTGTGTGTTTTTTAAAAAAAAGATGCATTGTAATGTTTTAATTTTAGAAATATTTTTAATGAAAAGCTTAGTGTGTTAAAATGGATGAAAAAATAATATTTTTCCCTTTCAGGTTAAAGAATTTGAAAGAGTGCAATGAATTTTGTTAATAAAAATGCGGATAATTTTTTAAAAAGATTATTAAGTGCAAATAGAAATACGTATTATTTTAACAGCAAGGAAGATAAAGCAGTAATGGTTAAATTGGTTGTTCTATTCAAAGAGGAGAATATATATTTATGTTTTTTATTTTGATATCACTTCTGGATTTTGTGCTTGGGATGAAAAAAAATTGAAACTTTAACTTTGGTTTTGCCAATTAAGATAGATTTGTTGTTATAGAAGTGGCTAGTTATATACTAATGTGTAAAAGTAAAAAGCTGAGGTTGTAATGTTATCTTTTATACTGTGCTAAAGAGAGTCGGAAATCAACGCCTCTTTATTTCTTGTACCTCCTGTTTTTTTTCCCATTTTTTTTTTCTTCCCTTAATTTCCCATTTTTAACTTTCTTTGTATTTTACACATTGATAAAACAATAAAAGTTATACAGGAGAAAACGATTTAGAAGAAATGCTTCAAATTTTGGAAACACATTCCTGCTATTAATTAAAGCAGCCACTGTTCTTTCAAGCTTCATGGGAGCTGGAGAACAGATGTGGCTGCTTTAAAAAGACCAGCTGTTAAAGTTAACGTGACTCTGAAAAGAGATTTTTAACAATCAGCAAATCAAAAACAGCAACCACTACAAAAAACCCAAACAACAACACCAGGCCAGTCTGAGTTATTTTAGGGCAGTCGAAGATCCTTCTGCTCGGACGATATTCTTCTGGCTCCAGTAAGCAAGCAGAAAGCAAACACAATAACGCACACACGCACCGCTCTGTTTTACCAGAAACAATCTTTCTTGACAATCCAGCTTGGAATAAGAGATAAAAATAGCAACGGGGTGGGCAGTTCCAGCAACGGTAAACTCTCTGTATGTCTCAATCAGTGCTAAAAAAAAAACCAACTAGCTTGTGCAAAGTTCAAGCTGCAAATTTAACAAGACAGCAACATTACCTTTAAAAACTAAGAAGAGATGAGAGTTTTTTGGACTGCTGTCGGGTTTAATTAGTTCCCCAAGAACTAGGGGGGAAAGGAATGACCCAATAAGATCCCAAGAGGAGAAGAGCTGAAATATATGGCTCTCTCTGTGTGTGTGTGTGTGTGTGTGTTTGTGTGTGTGTATAAGGGTTATCCCATCAGTTTTACCTCTTTTCTTTTTTAAAAATTACACCAAAGGCATGCTGCTAAAAAGTAATTTCCTGCCAGATTTTAGTGAAGTGTTCTTAGAACATAGAATAATAGAATTGGAAGGGACCCCCGGGGGCTTCTAGTTTAACCCCCTGCTCAAGCTGGAGACCCTCTATTCTTCTTTTTCTTGTGCCATATCCATTATCGGATGTTGGCGATCAAGTTGGTGATCATGTTTTTATCAGCAGCCGCATGAAAAAGTGCTGCTGAGTTTTGTCCAAACCGGTCCCTTAGATTTTGAAGCCACGATGTTCTTCTTCTGCATGGACCTCGTTGGCCTTCCATCTTTCCCTGGAGGATTAAATGGAGTATGCCGTATTTTTCTGGGTGTCGCATCACATGTCCGAAATATTCTAATTTTCGTTTTTTAATTGTTTTGATGATTTCCCTTGAGCGACAACAGGGATCTAGAGCCTAAACTGGACCGTGAGCAGTTAAGGGAAGTAGGTCTGACTAGCCAGGGGTAGGCAACCTTGGCTCTTTTATGACTTGTGGACTTCAACTCCCAGCTTCCCTTCCAGAGTTGTGAGTTCTCCATTGCTGGAGGTTTTCAAGAAGAGACTGGACAACCATTTGTCTGGGATAGTACAGGGTCTCCTGCCTTGAGCAGGGGGTTGAACTAGATGACCTCCAAGATCCCTTCCAACATTATTATTATTATTATTATTATTATTATTATTATTATTATTATTATTATTATTATTATTATTATTATTATTATTATTATTATTATTATTATTATTAATCATCACACAGTCAGCCAGATATTCAGACTGGATTTGGCATTTTTGTCTACCTATGGAGTCCTTCCCAAGGACCTGGGATAGGCAGATGTGGATGTTTGATGGTATTACAGATATCGTCGCAGGATGGAAGCAGTTCCTAGTAAGGCCGCCTTTTGCAATTGACTAATGGCGAATTTGTCAATGCCAATGGTGTTCAAGTAGTGCTCAAGTTGTTTTGGGATTGCACCCAAGGCGCCTGTTACTATTGGTACTACCCTTGCTTGCTTTTTCCACAGTCTTTCTATTTCTATTTGTAGGTCTCTGTATTTTGTTATCTTCTCCAGTTCTTCCTCGTCTATTACTATTATTATTATTGTTATTGTTATTGTTATTGTTATTGTTATTGTTATTATTGGTGTATATTTTGCTCTGTTTAGTTCTACAGAGTTCACAGCACCTTCATTTCCAGTAGAATTACGAGTAAAAACAGCTTGCTCTGAGTATTTAGGGAAGAAAAAAACAA